GGTATAGGGGTGGTATAGGGGGGGTATAGGGGGGGTATAGGGGGTATTCGGGGGAGTACGAGGGTGTTGCGCGGCAGTTCGAGGGTGTTGGGTGGGTGTATGGGGGTATAGGGGGCGGGTGTCGGGGTTTTGGTGGAGTTATTGGGGGTTATGGACTCCCAGAAAAAAAACATATGGGAATTTTTTTTTTGGTGGGGGTGCAGACAACCCTCGACCGGTAGGTGCTGACCAGCCGACCAGTCAAGGGGCGCCAACCGTCGGGGTATGCAACACTACCCAAATGCACTTTTCGGTGCGGGGGGGGTTAACCTAGGGCCAAAAAGTGTGGGGCCCTGTTAACCACTTGTTGCCTTCAGCGGAAACGAGAAAGGGCAAGAAACAAGACTTTGACTTACTCATCCGGAGTCCCCCTCCGCCCCCTCCTCCCCCTCCGACACACACAAATGGGGCGAGCGTACACACACACGAGCGACATCACGTGCGCGTGCGCGCGCGCGCGCGCGCGCGCGCGCGCGAGAGAGAGAGAGAGAGAGAGAGAGAGAGAGAGAGAGAGAGAGAGAGAGAGAGAGAGAGAGAGAGAGAGAGAGATCATACCTTACTCAAGAAGGTAGGAACTTCCACAACGCTGCATATCACCTCAGCTGACGATATTGAAGCGCATGGCAAATGCAAGGGCGCCGAAGACATTTCTGGGACCTTCAAATTGCCCTCTACCTCGCCAGGCCCTGTACTCAGGAGCTTAAACTCGTCTTGATCATGTAGAGGGAGTCCATCATCTGGCATGGACACACATACACTCTTCTGGGTTTCAGCAGCAACATTCTCATCTGTGGCAGTCTCAGGCAACACCACGCGTCTTTCCATGGGCACAGAAACTTCTTCAGCCGAGATCGGCATCGCCTCTACCACAGGTGCTGCCATCTGTGAATATTGTGATGCCAGGAGCGCACTCGATTTCACGGATTGAGCAAGCATTTGCATTTGAGGGGGTGCATACCTTGTGGATGGTGGCTTTTCCAAGTTTTCCCACCGTTCAGAGATAATCCATCTCCCTGATGATTTCTCTGCAATATGTGCACTGGGTCCTTCCAACGCAGGGTTAATCAAAGACAATTCCTCGGTAGGCACAGTCCAATCCATCGCATGTTGTAAATGAGGTCTTACTGATTGTTCTGAAGCCACAGCAGAGCTCTTGTCCAGAGCAGGGTCCACGGTCACTGGTATTGGCTTCTCCACTACCTCAGCTACTACTCCTTCGTTTGTTGGCACAGCCTCAGTCATTACCTCTGGCAACAAGTTGATAGCGCTCCTTGAAGCAGGTGATACAGAAGCCTCTTCTGGCATATGAAGAAGTTTGAAATTCGAGAGAATCTCAGTATGCGCTGCGGCATATGGTGGGGATTGCTCCCATGGTGCTGCAGAGACTTCAAGCACATGTGGTTGGTCTTCAGAATTATCCATCGCTCCAGAAACAGCCCCTTGCAAGAAGTCGTGTGCTTGCTCATCAATTGGTTCAGCTGCCGGGGAACAGCCTTGAGATTCGCCAAAGCTTCTATCTATTTCCGTATCGGTGGAGGGTGCTGCTGCACCTAGGGTATCCTCGACAGCTTCTAGCTTTGATGCCAAAGCCTCAGAGCTCACATGAGGCAGCAATTGGCCTGTTTTATGCAGATCAATTGACGCACATGCGAACACGGGCTCCCACCTCGAATCTTCCTCAAGGAATGGCCCCTTCCCGAGATGCTCAGCTGATGAATAGGGCGCCAGAAATGGAGGCTCTGAAGATGCCTCTTGTTTCCATGAAGAGGTTTCGCACTCAACAAAGAAAACAGATGGCTGCACCGCCCCATCCAGCACATGTTCGGCAACATCTTCCGCTGGCAACGGTCGGATCGCTCGTTTCGGTGCTTCGTCAATGCCGCTGTCTATTGCAGCCTCGGTCAATGGGAATGCCTGGTCAACCACCTCTAGAACCACCACCTCAGTTGCTGGGACAGCTTCCAGGATCGACTCTCCAAGTGTTGGTTTCCCTAGGTGCAGGATCCACGGCAAGACAGAATCAGAGTCCCACTGCAACTTAGGTTTCGACTCTAGAGGGATACCATCTTTCTCACCAGCTGAATAAAAGTCACCGTGCAGCCCATCATCATAAATGGGGTCCTGATAATCTACGCTCCAGAAAGAGTCCTCTGTCGATGGCGCTGTAGATTGAGCTTCATCCAGTAGGAATGGCTGGTCAGCAAGCCCAGCATGCTCCTTTAGCTCCTCGTCAATCTCAGGAACAACAGACCTTTCTCCCATACCCATGCAGCTACTTTCTGGTATCACCTCCATGACTGGTGTGGCTGCCTCCATTTCTCCAGGTAACAACAAGGATTCCACTGACAGTGCTTCTCCAGCAGGCTCTGGTATCCATGACGCACCCAAAGCCCCCAATCTTGACGGGATATATGGGCCATCTGCTGGGATGTTCTGATTCTTATCACCAGTTGGCACCAAGAGTGCATCAGCCATTGGGAGCAATGCCCCTGACGATGCTTGTTCTGCAACAGTTGGAGCTTCCTCCTCAAATCGGGAGGGCTCCGTAGATCCCCAATCGACCAGAGACGCTCGCCACACTTCCAGAGCGTCAGGACCATATTCTACTAGCTTGCCGTCATCGTCAGATCTTCTACCGCTTACGTCCACAACAACCTCCATATCAGGAGGCGCAACCTCCCCACCCTTCGCTTCCAGAGCAACACTGAGACCAGAAGGCAAAGCTTCAGCAACTTCCTCCAATGGCGCATACTTTGCAACTGGAAAGCCAAGTGCAGCAGAGACTGATTCTTGGTCTTGAAGAGGTTCGTGCTTCGACAAGACGGAATCACCAAGTGCCAGAGAGGCCACGCTGGACGCCTCTGACAACGTCTTGGCAGCACTTGCTTGGCCGTCTTCACGATGAGAAAATGGCTCAGCAGCGTCATCAACTTCGTCCGAAAGGTCTCGTTCTCGAAAGGGCCAGACCATCGCTTCCCGAAAGGGCTGGTCCACCACAGCTAACGGAACAGAGGACTCAGAAGCTTGGCCGGATTTGCCTCTGTCGATTGATGCCTCAATAAGGGCCTCTGCAGCTTGTTCCGTCGGCTCAAGAACACCACCCTCTCTGAAAGGCACAGCCTCACTCTCTGCTTCTGCAGGTAAACAACTCGATCTCTCTCCATATGAAACTGGACAACTGGATGGTGAATCATACAGAGATGGTCTGTTTGCTCGCACCAACTCAGCGGAAGATAGAATAGCCCTTGGCTCCCTGGAGGATTGTCCATCTGCTGACGTGGAATCGACAGGATCAAAAAGTGGCCACTCCACGTCCCCATCAATTACGTGTCTATCAGCCTCATCGGCAAGATGAGCTGCTACTGCTGATTGTAGACGCTCTTGCCCAGACCCTATGACTATGGCAGTCTCAGGAAGAGCAACAGCACTTTCCTTAGGCAAAGGAACTTCCATCTGTTCAGGCTTCGCGAAATTTGAACCTTCTGCCACCACACTTTGCCACATCTCCAGACCCTTAGGAGACGCTGCCTCTGCCTGCAGCTCTTCAGACACAAACTTGGTAGTTACAACGTCCAAAGGTTCAATGGATGTTTCAACGACCCTTCCATAAGTTTCATCCAGGGGAAGATGGCTAGGCTGTACAGCCTCAAACTCCAAATGCCATAGATCATTATCATCCAGAAGACCAGACTGCACCACCCATTGCGCAACCTCATCCGTAATCCTGCTTGTCGTAACCTCAATGAAGGGTGCTCTTTGATCAAAAGCCTCCTCATCCCTCTCTATCCCTGCTAATGCCTCTCCAACAGCCTCTGTTACAGCTTCCCCGAAACCCTCTGGCAGCTGCACCCGTTGCCGCTCACCAGGAGCTGATGGTGTGGAGATTGCCATTGGATCATGGAGCCAACCACCTCCCTCCGGAAGTTCCTCTATTCCACAAGGTACACCAGTCGTGGAATCAGGTTCAAAAGCACTCACATCAATAGCTTCCCGGCAGTCACCCTGTAGAGCCGTCTCCATCACATCATCACCCTCCATGTCTACAACCTCGCGAAGCACAGAAGGCTCTGAGAACTTCTCTTTGCCCCGACCAGCAACCGCATCGACTGTGATGTCCGTAAAGGGAATCAACTCCGCAGTTTCAGCAACAACTCCACCTTCCGCAGGTTCAGCCTGGTGAGCAGTCTCAGGAGGCAAGGCGCACAGAACTGTCTGTTCCAAGGAGCTAGGAGCAGAACATGGGGATTCGTATGTTGGCTGCTGTGTGCGATAGCCATCCTCCAAAGGCAAACACACAGCAGGGGTCAGTTCACAAGGCTCCGCGGATTCTTCAGCCACAACTGCAGCTGAGTCAGGTGACAGTGAACCAGAGGACACAGGCTCAAGTCCCACGCCAATATCATTCTGCAAATCGGCAGAACCAATGAGCATATCCAACACGGGAGGCTCCGGGAAATGGTCTTTGGTGTCGTCAACGATCTCGCCTGCTGCAGTGTCGGCAGGAGGCCGCGGTATCTCCGCAGTTTCCGAAAGAGCAGCACCTCCATAAGGCGTTGCCTCATGCGCAGCTTCTGGCAGCAAGGACAATGGAACTACAATCTCCTGGACAGACTTTGGCAGACCACCAACCTCTGGTGATGGATTTACAGAAGAGACCGCTCCATGAGGCTCGGCAGACTTGCTGACATCAGTTGTCTGCAAGTAAGGTGTCATGAAAGAACAAGCCACGGGCTCCACAGCTTTGTCACTACCCATCTGTGAATCAACAAAACCAACATGAGTATCCGTGACTTGAGGTTCCAGAACGCACTGAGTCACCAGAGCCACAATCTCGCCTACTGAAGTGTCTGTTGATTGCACTCGCAACTCCACACTTTGTAGACCACCTTCCTCTGCAGAAGGTGCTGCCTCATGCGCAGCCTCTGGCAACAAGGAGGGTGAAACTAAATGCTCATCGACATACTTTGGCACACCGCCAACCTCTGATGATGCATTCACAGAAGAGACCATCTCATCTGGCTCTACAGACTTGTCAGCAACAGTTGAAGTCATGAAAGAAAAGGGCACAGGCTCCACAGCTTTGTCACCACCCTTCTCCAAATCAAAAGAGACAACATCTGTCTCGACAACCTGAGGCTCTGAGATACTCACAGCAGCAATCTCACCTACCAAAGTGTCTGTTGATGACAACTCCACACTTTCTAGACCACCTTCCTCTGCAGAAGGTGCTGCCTCATGCACAGCCTCTGGCAACAAGGAGGGTGAAACTAAATGCTCATGGACATACTTTGGCACACCGCCAACCTCTGGTGATGCATTCACAGAAGAGACCATCTCATTTGGCTCTACAGACTTGTCAGCAACAGTTGAAGTCATGAAAGAAAAGGGCACAGGCTCCGCAGCTTTCTCACCACCCTTCTCCAAATCAAAAGAGACAACATCTGTCTCGACAACCTGAGGCTCTGAGATACTCACAGCAGCAATCTCAACTACCAAAGTGTCTGTTGATGACAACTCCACACTTTCTAGACCACCTTCCTCTGCAGAAGGTGCTGCCTCATGCGCAGCCTCTGGCAACAAGGAGGGYGAAACTAAATGCTCATGGACAGACTTCGGCACACCGCCAACCTCTGGTGATGCATTCACCGAAGAGACCATCTCATCTGGCTCTACAGACTCGTCAATAACAGTTGTCTGCAGATAAGGCGTTATGAAAGAAAAGCGCACAGGCTCCACATCTTTGTCACCACCCTTCTCCAAATCAAAACAAACAACATCTGTCTCAACAACCTGAGGCTCTGAGATACTCACAGCAGCGATCTCACCTACCAAAGTGTCTGTTGATGACAACTCCACACTTTCTAG